ATAATTCTTTTTTTTAATAAAGTCCTACACTTACGTCACGCTTTAGGCTATATATTTTCGCGCCATTAAACTTAGGGGGTAAATATTTTGGATATAAACCCTAATGTGGGAAAGAGACCATAAGTTGCTGCCAAGGTTGCAATGGTTTGTCATAGTCATGTCATTTTGACATTTGTAATTGATAATTTGACAAATGTGAACAATAAATAACATTTTTATAATTTCATGCGGATGAAGTCGCACGGGAACAGCTAGTATTCTAATGAACCTCAGGTTAATGTAAAAATTAAAACATATTCTAACATCTAAACCATACAGAGATTTTAAGATCTTCGCTTTAAAATATGTTCTCAATATAACCCATTATAAGCCGACTAAAATTGTTAACCTGTTCATTGTATTCATAGTACAGTCATGGAAATCCGCGATGTTCCAATTCACGCAAAAAGGCATTATTTATTGCAATGATACAAACTCTGCTCTCCCGACAAATAACTAATTAAATAGCACTGAGAAGTGCAAAAAGGATAACAAAAAAAAACGCCATGTGTAACTAACTGATTTTTTTCAATACTACTAAATAAACAGCCCCATAGACAAAGTGACTTTTGATCGACATTGCTTGAAGAATCTACAAAACGTGTCTAAAAGTATAGAAATGATTACTTCACAAGTACGTGACTTATCGAGTGTTATTGTCAATCCATACATTTTTGATTTCTCGATCAGCGAAAGCGATAATCGAATGTTACTTTGTATAAGGGGGCAGAAGTACTTTATAAGCTATCTAACAGATACATTTATAAGCTGCGTTGTATTGGTTTTTATTCCGCGTCTCGTTTCAAAATGTTCAAAAGACTGTATGTTTTAACGTGGAACACTAACAGTTTCCCCGACTGTACATATAATTGGCGTATTACTGTCTACGAAGGAACAATGGCTCATAAAACGGCACCTAACTGACTAAACGATTGCCTTGCTAATAATAAACAATTGAATGTCGATACAGGTGCATTACTGACACTAAGCTATATTTACGATCGAAATCAATTTGCAATCTTTAAAATCGATCCGAAAATTTAACAGTGTTAGAGTCCGCTTTAATATCTTCGCAAGAATGGGCCGACTCGCCCGGTGTAATACCACGACCACAC